AGGAGCCTTGTAATTCATAAAAACCATTTTTTGAGCAATATTGTCTTCTGTCATGCTCATTCAATAATAGTCCGTGAGGTAAAATAATTAAGAGAAAATCCATCTGCGTTTACACATCGATTTCCTATAAATACCCTTGTAACAAATACAGAAAAGATACTCACTTGCCATCTTTGAACCAGTCAATCACTGGGAAGGGAGTGCCCTTGACCTGGCATTCAAGGCTGGTGTCGTGACTGAGGACAACTGAGACTTCATTGGCGGAGTTGGCACCTATGATGGTGGGTGGAACTTGAACAAATACATATTATCATGAAAATCCATAACTTTGCAAAAAGAGTGGGGGGAAGGAGATCAGATAATCAATGATTTCTACAGTATTTCAACAAGATCTTACTGTTAAACATATCACAGAATAATCTTTTTTCTTTTTTTTTAAACTATTAGTTAAGGTATTACAAATGTGTCCTCATCTCTCCCATTAAATCCCCATCCTCCCCTCCCCCCACTTTTGCTCTCATCTCCCTGTTGTCCATGTCCATTGGTTTGGCTTATATGCATGCATACAAGTCCTTTGGTTGATCTCTCCTCCTTGCTCCCTCCCTCCCCTACTTTCCCTCTGGGGATTAATAGTCTGATCGCTGTTTCTCTGTCTTTGGATCTTTTTTTCATATCACATCTATGGAACCAAATGTTAAATTCAAGTATAGAAAAACATTCATGAAAGATTTGATAGCAGGACAATTCTTGGTAGTACAAAACTCATTTTGCTCATTTTGAGGAGTATTAAACCCATGTACCTAAGAAGTTTAGAATATGAGTGAGTAGTGAAGCTCATACAATTTACTACTGCTATACATTTTAATGAATGACATAACCACTGTCAATCTTATAACGACTGTTCAAATTCTACATATCACACCATAGTCCTGCTTAAAATATATCACCCCTGCCTCTTTTACAGGGATCCTACACAAAAACTGGATCTGAGTACAGTGTTGGCTCTGTTGGTTTTTATTCTTGGAATTATCAAACGTATTGAAGAGTTCCTGTACACTTTCCTGACCTTTGAATCTTCTTCCTTCACATCATGCTAAGGTGTCTGGTTCTTCATCTTTATTGAAATGAAGGGTTTCATCTCCAGCTGTTAGAGGGTTTCAGTAGGGGAGGGTACAGTATGATCAGCCATGCTGGCTGTTGAATAAAGAGTGGATTCCCGTAGCAAAGAATGGATGCCAGGGAGAGTTCAGAGGCTATTATATGGTATTAATGCAGCTTATAAAGGATACCTTTACAGTGGAAATAGAAAGGAGTAAATAATTTAACATGGGATCAGGAAATAGACTTAAGAGGATGTAGGTTTAAGGAGTAGGGGAGACGGAGGTAGGAAGGAATACCAGGTTCTGGCAGAAGCAAGCGGATGGGTGGAGGTACTGGTCACTACGATAGGAATCACCACAGGTGACCAGAACAGGCATTCATTGAGACCACTCAGTTCACCATGCCAGAGAAGTCTGAGCTGGAGATAAAAATGTGGGAGTCCTCAGCCCAAACAAAATTCAAAGCAAATGAGAGTGTCAAAAGAAATGATGCCAATAGGGCTAATGATAGAAAAGATTACTTCGATTTTATAGCCTATACTTAAATATAATAATGGGAATGTTGGTACAGTAAATGCAAAGTACTTAAGACTTTGAGAAGTTTAATGAGAGAGATTAATTTCATATTATAACAGTTTTGTCTGGTAATTTTAATGCAGTATCATTCCTACTTCCACCACAGACTTATAAATCATATGCCCATTTTGGTGAGCAAAATATTGAGAAGAGAGGAAGTCATTTTATCACTATGTAAACTCAAATTGGCAAATATGATTTCACACACTAAATTATAAAAATTTTAAATTTATGATTACTGTTAAAAAATTAAAAATGTTTTCTAACCCAATTTATCACAGTTATTACCTGTTCTCAGAATTCTCCCCCATTAACTAGAATCAGAGCTGAGGTGATTTAGTTACAAAAAATTAATTAGGTGCATTTTCTATCATCGAAGTTCAAGTACAACTTAGTAGCTTCAGGAGATGTCGACAGCATGAATGGAACTTACTCTGCCTCATCCTACATAGTTACTACCAGAGAATTTCCTGCCCACCTAACTGGAGAAATCAAGTTCAAGTACAACTTAGTAGCTTCAGATGTCGACAGTATGAATGGTACTTACTCTGCCTCATCCTACATAGTTACTACCCAGAGAATTTCCTGCCCACCTAACTGGAGAAATTGACAAGTGTTGTTATTGACAATTCTATGTATAAGATGGTACCAAAAACCCATAGATGTCTCTGTATGATAAATAATAATACCTTTTAAATCTCCATACAATATGGTTCTGGTCAACAAATATTAACGACAAAATAATGATGATATGAAGGTATTTATCCT